TGACATAAGAACCCCATCCCTTTATATGCTCTAACATCTATCCTTCCACCAAATGCTTATCCAGTTAAATTAAACTGGTTAAAAATTGGCCAATTTGTATTATTCTTGTTTAATAACATAAGTAACAGTACAGAGAAACAGGCTAATGTGGCTAAATTGCTTAAATATCATTATAAATATATTATCCAGGCTTGTTAGCTCACCTAAAGGATTCTGGAGACTGTATGTGATGCTGTTGCCTGTGATGTAAGCTGTCAGGTTTCTGATGGATGGATCCACCATGAAGATGAAGTCTTCATCCTTCCCTGGGTTCCTCACAGCCTGGAAAAGGGTCACCTGGGGGAAGGGCAGCCACCGAGCAGTGCTTTGGAAGATGATGATGGAAACTAATAGAGCAAGTCATGTGATTCACAAAGGACAGACGGCCAATGGAGTACTAATACAGCAAGTCATGTGATTCAAAAACTAAGAATCTTATTGGACAAAATACAAATGACAAACTTGAAACCTGAAGCCATGTGATTCAAATGAGAGAGAATGAGTAAATATGAGTAAATAGCCAAATCCTGCAAACATGAATCTGGGAAGACAGATTAATAACAATAGTGTGGCTCAGTGGGCTAAGCCTCTGCGGCTTTGGTTGGAAGGTCACCAGGTCAAGCCCCAGCCTTAGCAGAATGGTCACATGTCTCTGGGCCTGTGAGCAAAGCCCTTAACCCCAAGCCCCATGGGTGCTGCATACTGAACCTGTGCTGTGACCCTAAAGCCTGCTGTCACCTGTCTGTGTGTTTCATGTAGAGTAACATGGGGTATACAAAAAGAGAATTTCCCTTGGGGTATCAATAAAGTTTCACTGATCTTTTCTATATAAGATCAGAAATGAGGTTGAATAAATAATGTGACTTGTGTTTATGAGAGGAGACATGGAACTAGAAGGGAGGTGTACCAGAGCAGAGGTGGTGGAGTCCAGAATAATGCTGGTGGCCTGGGGCAAGTTGGCCGTGCTAGTCTGTATAGCCAGCCCCCCCGATGCCTGTGCCAGCTCCTGGTATTCCTGGCTGGCAGATGACGATATTCGACTAGAAAATTGCTGCTGTTGCCCTTGATTGTTACTGTCACTGCTTCTTCGACGTCGGCCAGCAAAGACTTTTGTTAACATGAAGGTTACCTGGAGAGTGAGACAGGATTAAAACTGCTTTTGTTAATGTGGGAAATTTCATTTGTGTTAAAGGAAAACAGGGAACAGGTACGGATACTTAAATGGCTCTTGTATCTTTTTGATAATTTGAAGACTAATCAGTTATGATTTGGGGTTTAATTAACGACCAGACTTCCTTTGAGAGTAACCACTGTACAGGATAGAGAGGCTTACATCACAGATGTGTAAAGGGTCATTTCTACCTTTTCTTCTGCTGTCTTGTGCTGTTTAGCCTAGTTTATGGTTCTATTACTGTGAGTCTGACTGACATTTAGACCACATGGAGTCACTAGATCTGAGTGTGTTAATGTGATGGATTGAAAATTCTGTATAATGCAACGGATATGATGTATCCTTGACTGCCAGGGAAACAAGGTCACTGAGCCTCTCAATGGATTGTTGGCTACTTGTGAGTAAATTCACCCTCACTCACCACTGACTTTGTGCTTTCTATCAGTGACAGCACTGTGTTTTTCAGGTAGATATCTTTGGCGGAAGCATCCGTGAAGACAAAAATCTCTGAGAAGGGAGGAGCACCTGTAAGGGCCAGCTGGACAGAGGTGGACAGGGGTGAGCAGTTGAGTGGAGGGAGAAGAAGGGGAGCAAACAACTGTGAGATAAACTGAGA